CTGTTCTCGTCTGCCGCGAGATACGCGCCGGGGAAAGTTTCGAGGAGGAAATGAAATCTTGCGGAATAAGGGGGCAGGGGATTCGAAGAGTTCTAGTTTATCCGGAGAAAAGGATCGAGCGATTTTCAATCTGAAATCCGACTGAATCTCGTCCGAGCATCGGTCGACTTGGAAGAGGGTTTACGCTTGAAACTTGGAGAAAGATTGACTAATTTTTAGCAGAACCGTGTTTCGCCCAAGTTGAAACGGCAAACGAATCGACTTCTCGAAAGCGGAGCAGTCGCGGGAGGCGGTTCTCGCGGAACCGGGTCGCAGAGTGGTTAATTTTCGATCGGGTTGCAGGAACTTCGAGTACGAGGCCGGGGATTACAGTCGGCGGGTGCGTTTCGTGATGGCCCACGACCCTAACCAGCTGGTCCTCCATGTAGCGGGTTACGGCGAGCTGAATATTAAGCCGGAGACCGGAAGCGGAGGATTGCTGGGTAGTTCGAGCAGTCTAGCGCCTCCCGGAGGATCGCCGGGCCTCATGAGAAGCAAGAGCGACCATCGTCTGGCTTCGCAGTACAGGCAGCAGGAGGAGGAGAGGCTAGCCAGAAATCGATACGTGCCCGAATACGAGTAATTATCTCTTTTCCGCCCGTTTTATTCCCTCTGCCCTGAATCTTTCCCCTCTCCCTCGAAGAGCGGAACACGCTTCCGAGCGTGTACACCCGATGCAACGCGAAACTTGGGCAGTTTCTAGTCCGACAACGGCGCTAGTCCACCTGCAGCTCCTTTACATAACAGCCGCTGCTAAATAAAAGCCGCGCCGACCGGCGAACAAGTGCGTTCCCGTGAAACTTTTTCGCCCGACAGAGAATTATGCGAATATTCTTGGAGATTACCCCCCGGGCAGAATCTATTGCTCCGATTATGGCCGTTTTCGCGTGCTAGAATAATTCTCGCAAGAGAGCCGGAGGAGAGCCGACGGTCCGGCAACAGCGAGAGCACAAGGATGAAGGAATTCGGCTCAACTGGCTGACCGGTAAAAACTTGTCTGACCGTGGACGCGGATTACTTTGGACTATCGCCAAACGGGACCCGTGGTGGGCATACATTTTTCAGGATGTCCCACATATCTATTCTAGCGAATGTTATAAATACACGGCGCGGCTCTCCTCCGCTCGTATCTTTTTCCCCGGGACGAACGGCAGCGGCGCGGCGCGGCGCGGGCCGCGCGCAACTTCCTCGAGGCCGAAATAGGCGCGGCTCGAGTTTAATTACCGGCCGGTTCCCGTGCGATCCGTCCGCGACCGGCCAGTTTTATTAAGCCACCTCGTCAAAATGTAAATGAAAAGCTTCTGATATAATGCCCCCCTCGCGTAATAAACAGTAATTAACGCGAGCCCCGCGCGTCGCGTTCCCGTGTCCCCGATACCGCAACGAGGAACCGCAATACCCCGACCCCGCCGATCACCCCCACGGTTAATTCGCCGGCTCTCCCGCGCCGATAATTACGGTTAATTGCTCGACCGAGACGGCCGGGCCGCACGCGAGGAGCTGTCTTTTCGAACGTTCTTCTTTCGCTCGGTTCGAGGCTTTTCTTGCTTCGGCTGTTCTTGAAAGCAAACGGTGTTCCATCGACGACATCATCGTTGGACTTTGACTTTGGATTTCGCGTTGGATCCGAGTCGAGCTATCGAGTACAGAATAGAAAAATTGGACTACAAGACCGATATCGTTCCACTAGACTCCGTGTCCCGTCCATCCAGCTGTGAATAATTCGAATTCCCATAAACAGAAAATTCCTGCCTCGTTCCGTGAACGAAACTGCTGTACCATGCAGATCCCGAGAGGATCGATTACCGTGATCGCGCGCCTATCTCCACCCTAACAGTTTTCTCTCGTTATACGGAGACTGGCCTGTCTCTGGTGCCCGGGAAGCGATAATTAAGCAACACCCTGCTAAATCCGACGAAACTATCGCTGCTTCGAAAAGGCGGATAACCCGGTTCCCGGAAAATCGGGAACGAAACGGTCTTTGCGTTCCCTGGCCAAAGGGATTAATCGTTATCCCATCGAGGCGGCACCGTAAAGAGGAAATTATCGTCCACCCGAAATGATTAACTTTTAGTCGATATCGGTACACGTTGGCGCATATGGAATTTTTTCGATCGACGAAAGATTTAATTAGGAATTTTTGATTGTTCGTCGATCGCTTGAAACGACCAAAAGGGTCGCTCCGCAGTCGCGATATTCCCGCTCGACTCGAGTGGACTCGAACAGGATTGTCAGTGACAGCGGAGAACGGTATTAAAGGACCTACATCCTCCTGCTCGTCTTCCCTCGGATCTGGAAGACGATGAGAGACGCTTGGCCTGATATCTCCCAGGACAATGTATTCCAATTTCGAAATTGCCTCGATAAATCTCGCGAGGAGATTTCTGATCTCCGTCGCTGATTCTCTTATGCTTGTCGCACGGTCTGTCCTCGGGACCTTTGCCCCGACAAATGAGTCGATTAATCCTGAAAAGACTCCAGAAGAAAAATGTCAAGATCAAGGTTGTTCCTTCGTTCTCCACTGCGTTTTCCCTTATATTCCTTCAATGAACATTCTTTTCAGACACTCTTGGAAGCTAAGATCTCAAAGGGTAAACTAACCACAATAAAATTCCTTATCTGAGTCGCTTCACCGGTAATGAAAATACTTGAAAATGTTCATCGGATAGAATAATGCTTCGCTGCTAACTCGCCAGCCATAAATTCGCCACTAACGCTAACAAAGAGACGCTAACTCGATCCATAAACCTCTAGAGGTCGGAGCCAATCGAATTGTAGCTTATCACTTTCATCCCATCGTTCATCATCCCAGCCTGCAACGAACTCTTGGAAGACTCACCTGAAGGAAAGTTCTCGCATTCACAGTTACGACGCGCCGGAGTACGAGGTGCCACGCAACAAATCGAGGTACAGGAGCCGGTTCATGCGTCATCGGGACGGCGACGACTCTGACGGCGACACGAGGTCGACGGTCAGGTTCACGTCGACGCCTCAGGAGTCCTCGGGTCTGCGCGAACGTGTCCTGGACACGGAGGACGCGGCGCGAGGCCCGTTGTCCGGCATATTCCGGCTGACGGACTCGCCGCGCGTCATGAGAAAGCTGCAGGAGTACGAGAGGGCCGGGAAGAGGAAGAAAGAAGAGCCAGCGCCTCACCCCGTGCAACAGCCCCCGCCACCGAAGCCTCAGGTTAATTAAATTCTTCGCTTTATCTTTCGCTGTGTCCTCCCTCGCCCCTCGCCCCTCGCCCCGACATCTTTCACGCGAATCGCGCGTTTCGAGGCTGCCGCGAAACGTGTTCAGCTCGCGATCAAACGAATCGCACCGGTTCGATGGACTCTGAAGATTAAATACCGAATGTGCTGTGCGTCTTAGTCGTTGAACGAGGCCAAAATCAAACGGGACTGCCACTCGAACTACGCTTAGCCGAATCAGCTCTTTTTCGTTGTATCGTTTTTATCGGTGGCTGAACCGTTAGTCCTATCGTTTGTCGACTTTATTAGAATTAGACTGATTAGGTTAGAAATCGGTTGTTCTCTATAGGAAAAGTGACGTTCGATTATCAATGGAGTAGAATTGAATTTCAAGTCGTAACGAGAGCTACGGGAACTCGCGGATACAGGCCCTGCCGAAGCGCACGATACGCGGATCATGGAATTTAATTTGAAAAAATCCATTTCCGTGCAGTCGAAACCGCTCGGCTCGTTCAGTTTTAACAGCGGTTATTGATTTCCCGGTTGCAACCCCCTGCTCTCCCTGTTCCAGCAG